GCGGAGCGGCCCCGCGCTGGGCACGAGGGCAGCGCGGACACGGAGAACAACGCGAACAGAATGAGCGGTGCGGGCAGAATGAGCGGCCCGGGCGGGTTGGGGCAAGCGGGTGAAGGGGACTCAGTCAGGCGTGCCGCAGGCAGTCCAGAGCCCTAGAAGGCGGGGGTCCTGAGGCGCAGAGTACACTGGGACATTGCGGTGCCTCGTAGGGCATGCCGGGATATAGCGAGGCGGCCATGGCGTGAAGTACGTTGGGATATACCGAGGCCTACTAGCGCGAGGCATGCCGGGATGTACCGGGACGAGGCTGTGCATGGCATGCCGGAACATAATGAGACAGTTGGGGCGCGGAGCACACTGGGATATAGCGAGGCAGAGGTGGCGCGGAGCACGCCGTGATGCGCCCTGGCGGAGCTGCGCGGGGCGTGCCGGGATATAGCGAGGCAGGAGGGGCGGGCTGGAGGGCCTGGCCTGGGGTCGAAGCCGGTCACATATCGGAGTCGCTGCCGCGGGTCGCTGCCTGCGGGTCCCACTGCCTTCCTGTGGTCCCTGGCGCCGCAGCATCGACCACAGGCACCGGCCCGGGGGTGCATGACCTGCGGGGCCTACAGCCGGGGAGGTGTTTGGGGAACACCCGGGCACGGGAGGGTCTCGGTGGCAGGGGGTCCCCAGGCCCACCCCCCGTGCTCGGGTGTCCTCAGGTTGACGGGACCCCAGCAATGTTCTGGGATCCCCTCCTGGGCTCGGGGGATCTGCTTTTGTGGCGCAGGACTCCACGACCCCCGCCCCCGGCAGGGGGGTTTTACCTCTTGGGGCTCAGGACCCCCAGAACCCCCAGCTTTAGGGATTTATTTTTTGGGGTTCGTGCCCCCTCCCCGCCTGTTCTTCGGCTCCGATGTGGGGTTGATCAATCTCTGTTTTCTCAATTAAATCGTAGCTCGAGGCGAGCATAGGAATTCTCGTTTCCAAAGGGGCCGGATTTGGCCCGGTTTCACCCCTGTTTATTTTCGGGCTGTGACCGCGAGTGTTGACCCGAGCAGCGGCACCTCGGGCCAGGCTGCCCCGGGCAGGGTGTCCCGGGCTGGCCGGGGCTGCCCCCGCTCCCCTGGGCTGCGCCTCAGCCAAAGTTCTGCCCCGTTTGTGCTGACTCGGCTCCGGCGTGCGGAAGCGGCCTCTCGCCACACCTTCCCGTGCTGTCCCGCTCCGGGCCCGGCTCATCCTGCCGCTCCCGGCTGTCCGGGCTGTGTCCCCCCTGTGTCACCCCCCTGTCCCGCTCCAGCATGTGGCTGCCGCTCGTCCTGCTGCTGTTGCTGCCCGCGGTCCTGCCCGCCCGGTGCTGCGGTGAGTGCGGCCCCGGCCCCCAAACCTGCCCGGGACCCCCTGAGCTCGGGGGGTCCCCGAGGAGCGGGGCTGGGAGCCCCATCTCCAGACCCTCCGACGGCGACTCGTGGCAATCCTCGGTGACAAATTCTCCGGGGCTCAGATCCCCCCAACCCCTGTAACTCCTTCCCCTGCCTGGAGCCAGCCCGTGCCCCCCACCCCTCCACGGGTCCCTGGGGACACGGGTGTCACTCCAGCTCTCTGCTCCTGCTCCATGTCACGTCTCTTTGTTTGTTCCTCTTTTAGTTTGGTGGGAAATCTGGAGGTTATGGGATTTGGGGGGCACGCGGAGGGTGTGGGGTGCATGGAGGGGTGGATGCTGGGGCACCACACAGATTTGGGGGGCTATGGAGCTGCAGGGCCGTGCCTGGGGTGGGTCTCGGCCCTCTCGTGCCCCCTGACCTGCCCTGCCTCTCCCGGGCCGGGGCAGAGGTCCCTGAGGGCTCGGCGGGTGCCGTGCGGGCGCTGAGTGCGCAGCTGCTGGGGCTGGCGGGGGACCCCGCGCGGGACCCCGACCCCGCCGTGTACCTGGCCCTGCGCCTGGCCCGCGAGCACGACCCCCGGCTGGAGCAGCGGTACCTGGAGCGGCTGCAGGACGCCTTCCAGCACCCCTATGGCAGGTAGGGGTTACCAAAGGTCCCCCACGGGTCTTTGGGGCCGCCCCTGTCCCCCGTGCTGATGGCCTGTCCCTACAGGAGCCTGCAGGCCCACGGCCACTCCCGGTGGGACGCTGAGCACAGCATGTACGTGTGGGTGTCCCGGGGTCCCCTCAGGGCAGGTGACACCTCAGGCAGTGTCCTGGGAGGTGACCGGTGCCTTGCAGGAGCGTGGCAGAGCCCCCGCACACGGGGCGGCTGGCACTGTACCTGCTGGGGCTGCGGGCCACCTGTCCCCCACCCCATCCCCATCGCTTGCTGGTGACGAGGCTCAAGTACTATCTGGAGGAGGACTGGACAGGTGAGAGTGTCCCTGTGGGGTGAGTGCCCACTTGGCACCTCCACGTCCAGCTGTGAGGCACCGGCTCAGCCCGGTGATACCACACGTTGTCCCCAGGCTCCCAGCGGCACGGCCACCCCCTCACCAGTTACTACCAGTACGGGCTGGGCGTGCTGGCGCTGTGTGTGCACCACAAGCGGGTGCGGGAGGAGGTGATCCGGCGGCTCCTCACGGCCCAGAACCATGGAAAGCTCGGGCACAGTGGCAATGCCGTGGGTAAGGGCCCGTGGGCACAGGTGGTGGCACCCTGGTGGGTGTGTGACTCCAGGGTGACACTGGGGTGTCCCTGCAGACACCGAGGCCGTGGTGGCACTGGCCTTCACCTGCCTGGAGCAGAGGAAGTTGGTGGGGAGCAAGCTGGCGGCTGAGCTGCAGGCGGCCACACACAGGGCCAGCAGGGGCATGGCCGAGGCCCAGGGCCCTGATGGCGTCATCGGCAACATCTACAGCACCCCGTGGGCCCTGCAGGTGGGTGTTACCTGAGGGGACATCTGGGCTGGCACTGGGAATGGGCATAGCAGGAAGTGGGTGCAGATGTGGGTGCCCAGGCAGGGGCAGCTGCCCCGGGGCAGGTGATGCTCAGCAGTACAGTGCCCAGGTACCCAACCCTCCTCCCTCTTCCCACCACCTCCATCCCTCCCCGTTCCAGGTGTTCCTGGCCACAGGCACATGCCAGACGGAGCCGGAGTTCAGCCAGGCCATGGCTGCATTGCTGGAGAACCTGAAAGCCTTCGGCACTGCCGCCACCATGGCCCAGGTGCTGCCGGTGCTGCACGGCCGCTCCTACCTGGACATCGCCTCCATGCACTGCCAGGAGGAGCCAGGTGGGAGCGGGGGTAACAGGACTGGGGTCAGTGCTGCTGTCACCACAGTGACTGGGTGTCACCAGTGCCGTGGTGGCTTCTCACAGACACCCTGACACCCCTGGACATGGAGCCCCTGCCTGAGGTGCCGGGGAACAAGACGGTGCAGCTGGTGGTGGAGTGTCCCCTGCCATGGTGCTACGAGCTCCGGCTCTACGACCGCCCCGTGCTTGTGCCCGCCTCTGCCTCCCTCCTGGATGTGCTCCAGGCGGCTGCTGCGCTGGAACCCCATGACTTCAAGTATGTGGGGGTCACGCTGTGGTGGCCACGTGCCCTGCACCTGTGCCCTGTGCGGGGCTCACTCCAGTTCCCACCACACAGCTCCCTTGGGAGCAGCTCCCTACCACTGCCAACAGTGCGGAGCCAGACCCTCAACCCCTGACCCTGCTGTCCCACTCCTCAGGTTCCACACCCAGGATACCCCCCAAGGCCCTTTCCTGACCCAGGTGCTGGGGCTGGAGGCCCGGCAGGAGAAGCGGAACTACTGGCAGCTCCTGACCGCTCCCGACAGCCCCCTGCAGATGGGTGAGTGGTGGGTGGGGGTCGCTGGGGAGGTGGCAGGGGTACCCCACAGCCCCATGGCTGCTGTCTCACCCCAAACCGTTGTCCTTCTCTCCACAGGTATTGCTGACTACAGACCCCAAGATGGGACGACCCTCATTCTGCGCCTCAGCGAGTGGTAGAGGGTGGGGGGTGATGGCAATGAAACCCCCACTGTGGGCACAGGACCTGCCGGCTCCCTGCCTCCTCCTTTCCGTGGGCCAGCACTCCAAATCTGCCAGGGGCAGGAGGAGGGGATACACACGATTCCCTTTGTCCTGCAGGTGCAGTAGGACGGGAGCACCAAAACCAGCAGCTCCTCCAGTCCTGGTCTCACTCGGGAATGGGACAGGTGGCCGCTGGGAACAGCCGTTTTTGGGGTGTCCAAAGTATTTTTGGGACGGCCAAAGATTTGGGGAGTCTGAGTCAGTACTGTTCATCCTCAGCAAGGTGCCAGCTGGAATCTTCCTCCCCTGTAACCCGCCGGGGGGTACTGAGCTCCCATTGTCCCGGGGCTCGGGGGACCGCGGTGCCCGCGGGGAACCCTGAGGTGTGCCCAAATCCGCGTGATTCCCCCGGGAGTTTAATCCAGCCCCCAAAATCACCGCGTCAGCGGCGGTTTGGGGCTGGGGTCGGAGGGATAGCAGCGGGGACCAGGCGGGGTCTTGGAGGCGGCCCCGCTGTCACCACAGAGCCACCGCAGGGTGACGAGCGCCGGGGGCTGCCCGGCGGCACCGCTGGGTGTGTCCCCGGTCCCCCGTGCCCGCCGTGCCCCGCCCGCCCGGCAGTGACGCGGGGCCTTCGCAGGGAGGAGCCTCCGCCCTCCCTCCCGCCATCGCCAAACTTTCCCGGGGCCCCGGCCGGCGCCGCCGCCGCCTCCCCGGCACATGGCACCGCCTCCCCGGCGCTGAGTGCCGCCAGCACCCCCGGCCGGGCCACGCCACCGCAGCCAGCGGGGACAGCGCGGCCGCCACCGCGCCAGCACCGCTGTCACCGCCGCTGTCACCGCCACACAGGAGGGGAGGACGGGGCAGAGCGACGAGGGGCGGCCGCAGGCAGCGGAGCCGGTGCCCATGTGCCCGCGGTCGCGGCGGGGCGATGAAGCCGCGATGAGCACGGCGGGCGGGGGCGGCCTGCGGCCCTGGAAGCCCGACCCGGGGCAGGCGGGCGGGGGGCGGCCCGCGCCGGGGCCGGGGCCGGGGCTGCCGCTGACCCTCAGCGTGCTGGCCTGGCTGGGCACCGGCACCACCATGGCCGGCCTCAACAAGTGGATCTTCGCGGCGCACGGGTTCCGCTACCCGCTGCTGCTCTCGGCGCTGCACATGCTGTCCGGCGTGGCCGTGGGCTACCCGCTGGGCTGGGCACGGCCACCGGGCCCCCGGCCCCGCGCCAGGATCTACCTGCTCAGCCTCACCTTCTGCACCAGCGTGGCCCTGGGCAACCTGGGCCTGAGCTACGTGCAGCTGGACGTGGCCCAGGCCGTGGCCACCACCACGCCGCTGGTGACGCTGGTGCTGGGGGTGCTGTGGGGCCGGCGGCCGCACCCGCTGCAGTTCTGGGCCATGGGGCCGGTGTGTGCCGGGGCCGCCTGCAGCATCGCCGGCGGGCTCTGCTTCTCCCAGCCCGGCTGCGGCTTCCTCCTGGCCGCCACCGTGCTCCGCGCCCTCAAGTCCATCCAGCAGAGTAAGTGCCACCTGTCCCTGTCCCTGTCCTGCATGTCCACCTGCCCCTGGCACGGCCCCTGGGGCACGGGGGTCACCTCGGTGCCACCACCGGTGCTGGGGGTTCTCCCTGTTTGTCCTGCCACCCACTGTGCACCCTGGTGTCTCCCCAGCCCCAATGCTACCCCACTCTATCACTGGTATTACCCCAGTGCCACCTTTGTGCTGCTGACACTCCCTGGCCACAGTGTCACTCCAGCCATGGTGGCACTCGGGCTCCCAGTTTCACCCCAGCCCTGGTGCCACCCTTGTATCACCCCTGCCCCAGTGCCACCCCTGGTGCCACCCTTGTATCACCCTAGCCCCAGTGCCACCCCTGGTGCCACCCTTGTATCACCCTAGCCCCAGTGCCACCCCTTGCCCACTCTGTTTCTGATGCCACCCCAGAGCCACCCTTGCCCCTCTCAGAGCTGTGTTGTGCTTGCAGCCCTGAGGTGACGTGTCTTGAGTTTGTCATTGATGACACCATTAGTGTCCCTGTGGTGTCCTTGGGCCATGGGGGGGTGGAAGTGCCCTAGCTTGGCACAGGGTCGCCCAGCCTGTCCCATCTCTGTGGGCTGCTGAACTCCCTGTGAGTCCCCGTGGTGCCACTCAGGCCGTGGTGTCCTTGGCAAATGGCAGCGAGGAGCCAGCTGGAATGTTTTTGGCTGGGAAAGGAGCATTTCTTCTGGAGCCTGTGGGGCACCATGGGGACAGGCTCTGGCATGGGGCCCTGTGCTCACCCCAAGGTCTCCAGGCTGTACTGGGGTGCTCTGACCCCCCAAGGGACACCACTGGTCATTGTGCCTCTGTCCTGTCACCTTTCCACCCCCGGTGGGACGTGGACAGTGGCCCTGAGGAGAGTAGGGGCATGTCTGTGTGTGGCAGCCAGCCCTGCTGTGCCTGCTGTCCCCACTGTCCTCGGATGACCTGGAGGGGGGGACATGAGTACGAATGCTTGGAAACAGCCTGGGAAAGCTGCCCTGTCCAACTCTCCCTGTGGCACTCTGACCCCAAACACAGACAACCTTGAAAGCAGACACCCTCTGAATCAGGGCATCCCCAGAGTGAGACACCCCGTGAACCAGTGCACCCCTAAACCAAGGAATCCCAGAAATGAAGGACTCCTGAATTCCTGAACAGACACATCCAAACCAGGGAATCTCTAAACTGGGACTCCCCCAGCCCATGGCAGGAACTGCCCCCCCCCCCATTTTCCCCTTCCCAGTGAATCCCAGTTTGGGATTTCTTTACTGCTTGGTCTCGTGTTGGTGCGTGTCTCCTGTGGGTGCTGGGTGTCCCTGCGGCAAGTGGGTGTTCCCGTGGGATGTCCCACTGAGTGTCCCCCTGTCCCCCCAGGTGTGCTGCTGCAGGAGGACGGTCTGGACGCGCTGTCCCTGCTCGGCCTGACGTCCCTGCCCAGCTTCGTGCTGCTGTTCGGGGCGGCCGTGGCGCTGGAGCTGGGTCCCTCCTGGCAGGGCATCCTTCGCCCCGACGCCACGCTCTGGGGCTGCGTCCTGCTCAGCTGCCTGGGCTCCGTGCTCTACAACCTGGCCACCTCCTGCCTCCTGTCGCTCACCTCGGCCCTCACGCTGCACCTTCTGGGCAGCCTCACCGTGGTGGGCAACCTGCTGCTGTCACGGCTGCTGTTCGGCACACGGCTGGGCGCGCTGGGCTACGCCGGCGTGGCGCTGACGCTGGCTGGGATGGTGCTGTACCACCAGCCCCGGCTCCTGGCCGCCTGCTGGGGCCTGCGGGGGCTGCGGCGGCCCCCGCGCCACGAGTAGGGTCCTGCGGGGGGGTCGGGGCCAGGAGGGCTCTGGGGGAGTGCTGTGCCAGTGTGTGTGGGTCTGCACATGCTGTGCCTGTGTGTGCCAGTGTGTGTGACTCTGTGCATGTGTGTCCGTGTGCACAGCTCTGTGCACACACAGGGGCACACACGTGTCTGTGCATGGCTCTGTGTGCACACGGGTGCTGAGGAGCACACACGTGTCAGTGAGTGTGCATGTCCTGCTTTGCACAGTGTTTGAGTGTGCTGGTGTGCACAGCACTGTGCATGTGGCCGTGCTGATGTGCACACGTGTTGTGTGCACAGCTGTATGTACGTGTGTTGAATTGCACACTCAAGTGTGAGTGGCTCTGTGCACAGCTCTGTGCTTGTGGGTATGCACAGGCTCTCCAGTGTGGGCCTGGCTCTGTGCAGGACATGGTTGTGTTCATGTGTATGACACTGCACACATTTGTGTGCACAGCTCTGTATGCAAGTGTTGGTGTGCATGTTGGTGTGCACAGGCTCTGTGTGCAAGCCTGGTGCAGACTGTACATAGGTGAGTGTCTGTGGCACCTGTGTGCACGGGTGTGCACTGCTCTGTGTGTGTGTGTGTGTGTGCATGCGTGTGCTGCTCACAGGTCTCGCTGTAACCAGGCCTCTGTGCAGGTGAGCAGGTACCTGTGTGTGTGCCCTGGCTCTGCATATGGCACACTCAGGGACGTGGCTCTGGATACACAGTTCTGGATACACAGCTCTGTGCATCCAGCTGCTGTCCCACCTGGGAAAACAGAAGTGTGTGTGTGTGTCTGTGTGTGTGTGTCTGTGTATGTTTCTGTGTGTGTGTGTCACTACTGGGCTCTGCTGGCTGGAGTGGCCCTGGCTCTCTGTGTACACTCTGTTCTTGTGGCTGAACCCAACGCCCAGGACAGGGCAGGCGCATGTCACCTCTCCTGTCCCCGTCCCCACCGTGTCATGACAATCCCATGGGGCTGCTGGTGGTGCTGCCAGTGTCGTCTTTGTCCCCACCATGCCCCTCAGCCCCCACAGCTGTCCCCACCCCTCCCAGCTCGCTGCAGACCGGCATCCGTGGCAGAGATGGTGAGAGCCCAGCCGAGGGGACAGGACCAGCTGCCATTGCTCCAGGACAGTGGTGGGCTGTGACACGGGACAGTGCTGGGCTGTGACATAGCACATGCTCACCATGGCAAAGGGACAGCCCGGTGTGCGTGCCTGGCACTGCTGCTGGGGTCCGTGGTGGCCGTTGCCACACTTGTATTGCCACACCAGGGCCGAAGGACCCAGCTCTGATTGCACTTATCCCAAAATAAAGCTCTATTTTTGTTGTACTCCACCCTCGGCTCCCAGTGATCTCCTGGCCAAGAAGGAAGGAAGTGAGGAACACCCAGTGCAAGGATAGGAAACTGAGGCACAGAAATGCCCGAGGATGTTCCAACTTCTGGGAAGCTGTGTCCAGCATCTCCAGCTCCAGCAGGGACAGCTGCGGTTTGGCAGCCCCAAGGCTGACACTGGGACACCCCACAGGACACTGGAGGGATGCAGTGACATGAAAAGCAGTCACTGACCACAACTGAGCTTTGCCCTGCTCTGGGGTGACATGACGCTGGAGCTTCCTGTCCCTTGAATCATGGATCATGGAATATCCTGGGTCGGAAAGGATCCACAAGAATCATCGAGTCCAGCTCCTTGCCCTGCGCTGGACAGCCCCAAAAGTCACACCATGTGTTGCTTGTTCCGTCCCTTTCCAGCCTGGTGACTCACTTGAACACACAAGCACAACCTCACTTCCCCTGAAAAATCCCCACTGGTTCCCGCCCTCTTTCTCAAACAGCGATTTTTTTCCATTGTCAGGGCAGTGATTTGAGGCTGCTTCCAGCAGCACCCGAGGAACGGCTCCTCCCCAGCACTCAGGTGAGGGGCGGGCAGCTCTCCGGGGTGTGCTTAGCATGCCACCGCTGCTGCCACCTTTGCCAAGGTGCCCCAGGTGTGGCTGGAGTGGTGCCCATCCCAAAAGGAAACAAAGGGCCCGCAGTTATCAGCCAAGGGCCCCTGCTCTGGCCAGGAGCCTGTTTGCTTTCTGGGCTCACGTTCCAGAGGCTTTGTCATAGCAGGGGGTGTTGGAAGGGAGGAGTGAGACCTGTAAACCTGCCACCTGCAGCATCGCTGGCTCAGGAGCCTTCCCCCATGGACTCCCAGCCTATCCTGACTCATTTGTTGACACTGAGGTCTGCCTGGATCCTGGCTCTATCCATGGCTTTGCCTTTTCCACCTTGGATTCAGTGCCTTGTGGTGCTCCCGGTGCCCTGCAGCTCCAGGGAGCATGGCCACTTGTGGCCGTGTGTGTCCCTGTGCAGTGGTGACAGCAGCTGGGCTGGTCAGGGGGGTCCCGAGGGCAGCACTCCTGCTGGGATTTGGGCTTGTGTTGCCCGTGGAAAGCCCAGCAGTGGTGGGAGGGGTGGCTGGGTGTGGTGACCCTCTACGGGTATTCCAGGCCATGATCTCAGCCTGGTGTTATCCCTCTGCTCTGGCCCCAGGAAGGATTTGGTTTCCCACCCCACTGACAGCTGCCCATGTGCTGAGTCGAGTGCTGCTCTGGCCAAGCTGGATGAAGGAAAGGCATCCCAGCCCTGGGGTTTTTTGGGACGGGAGAAGATGGGACACCCTCCTGGAGAGCAGCCCCTGGCACAGAGCAGGACCAGCCCAGCTGAAGCAGGGAAAAATGGGCACAGCCCTCATGTGGGCATGGGGAGGGGTGGCTGCTTGTGAGGAGAGGTCACAGCTCTGAGAGCATCTCCACATGCTTGGAGGTGCTGGCTGAAAATCATGGAATCACAAGACGGTTTGGGTGAGAAGGGAACCTTAAGGTCGTCTCATCCCACCCCCTGCCATGGGCAGGGACACCTCCCACTATCCCAGATTGCTCCAAGCGCTGTCCAGCCCGGCCTTGGACACTGCCAGGGATCCAGGGGCAGCCCCAGCTGCTCTGGGCACCCTGTGCCAGGGCCTGCCCACCCTCCCAGGGAACAATTCCTGCCCAATATCCCATCCAGCCCTGCCCTCTGGCAGTGGAAGCCATTCCCTGTGTCCTGTCCCTCCATCCCTTGCTCAAAGTCCCTCTCCATCAAGGAAGTCCAGGTGAAGTGTGAAAGTCCAAGGTGGGAGAAATAAACCCGTGTCCAGTGGGACAGTGTAGTTATGACATTGGGCCAGACAGTTTTTCATGGGTTTGCTGCTGAATCCTTCCTTGGAAGTGGTGATGGAACGTGCTGGGATGGTGCTGGAGCAGGAGCAGCATGTGCCCACGCAGGGGAGAGGAAATCCAGCGTGGATTTACTGTGTGCCTGGGAGCACAGGGTGGAAATGATCTCTGTTTCAGCACAGGGATTAACTGCTGCCCTGGGGCCCGTCAGGAGCTCACTGCACTGGCACAGTGGGATTTGGGATCTGCTGCAGGGACAAATACTTGCTAAGCTGGGAAGCCTGAGCCAGGAAATTATATCCTTCCGGGATATGCTGGGCTGTGCTATCAAACCTACAACATCCCAGTCCTCAAATTGTGTCAGGGACTGTCCTGGGTATGGAGCTGGAATTATGGCAAAGCCGTTTTTAGCGTAGATGTAGGAAAATTGCATATTTCTTTGTAGGACAGCCTAACCCAGAGAGCTGAGGGCATTTGAAGCTGCCCAAATGAGACTGGAGGCCAGGAGGTGGACAGGATGACCCCTTCTAGCCCCACAGCCTCTGCTCCAGCACCCAAAAATCCCCTCCAGGCTTTGTCCTTAACCATTTGGTGGCTTCACTGCTGGCTCTCTGTGTCACAGGCTCCTGTCCTGTGCTGAGCAGGCTCTTGTCTGAGTAGCTGAGTTTCTAAAACTTGAAATCACAGGAGCTTAAAGACATTTTAAAAGTCTTAGAATCAGAAAAAGATGGAGTGGTTAAGTATGCATATGCTCCCTAAGATCACCAAGTCCAACTGTTCCCCTAGCATTGTCAAGGTCAGCGCTAACCATGTCCCCAGGTGCCACATACTCACATTTTTTTAACATTTACAGGGATGGGGACTTCACCACAGCCCTGGGTAGCCTGTTCCAATGCCTTACCATCCTTTCTGTGAGAAAAGTTTCCCTACTATCCAACCTAAACCTCCCTTGGTGCAACTTGAGACAATCTCCCTTCTTATTCCCTGTGAAAAGAACCTGATCCCTACCTGGCTCCAACCCCTCACATCTACTGGGGCTATGGGACCCCACCAAGGAATGGGATTCTTCATGATCACAGAGTAGCTTGCTCAAATCATAAGACATGGAATGATTTGGGTTGGAAGGGATCTTAAAGTTCATCTCACTCCAATGCCCTGCCATGGGCAGGGACAATAACCATGGATCTCGCAGGGCATCTCCTGAGAAACTGTTGTGGCAATCAGATGGGGGAAGAGAAAGGGTTGTGACATCTTTGGGTCTCTCCCATCCAGAGATGCTGGAACCTGTGCTCTTCCTTCCCTCTCTTGAAGGCAGCAGACGATGGACTTTGAGTTGCTGTCTCAAAACCCAAAGCAGTATCCCAGTTAGGAAAAACAAGTGTCAGTGACATTCCAAGTCTTCTGACTCACAGCAAGTTGCTGTCCTGCCTCAGCAGCACATTTTGTGCTGGAATAACATAACACTCCCTGAGCACGTGGGTTTTGGAGTCTCTGTCAAGGCCCTGGTACAAATGAGATGTGAAAACTGTGCTGATTTTATTAATAGTAAAATTCACTACTTGCTGGGGTATCTCAAACCCTCTGTACTTTCAGCAGCACAGACTTCATGTTCCAGCTCCTCAGATGTGAGTTTATTTTCAGTGCTCCAGCATGGATCTGGAAGAACTGCTGCTGGCTTTCCCTAGATTTCTTGCCAAGAGGTCACAACAGCTCGTTTGTACTCGAAGCATCAGTGTTTCTCCTACTTTGTTTCCATAAACATGGGGCACCACCCCTGCTGGAGAGCTGAGCATCTGGAT